TTGGGCCCCCTAGCGCAACGCCGGCCATGTTAGGGCGGCGCCTGTCAGTCGAGCCATCGAAAACCCTGCAAGCCATCCAGCTCACCTCTTTCCTCCCCTCCCCTTTCCTCGCTCACTTTGCCCACCTCATGGAGCCGGCAAATGAAAGGATGGCCGGCCAGATGCGGCTGGCGAAAAAAAAGCAGGTTAGTTAGTACCTGCCTACTCCTTTCTTCGCCATTGCATCCTTTGCCTGGTTCTTGGCTTGGATGAGGCAACATCCGTACAAGTACTTGAATCCCACTGTGGCTGGCGTGGTCTCGTGCGCGGGCTTCCTGTCGCTATCCCATGTAAAGAACAGACCCATCACTCCCATCATGCCCATCCTATCCTCCACACATCATCCCGTCTCATCTCTGGAAGACGTCGCATCCTAGTGAGGCCGCTTACCCGTTACTGCACTGATCGGCCACACACCGTCCTTGGCCCCTTCGTCACGCTGAGCCTCGTCACTGCCCTGGAACCTTTGGGCCCATTTCCCGCTTCTTGGGGCGGTCCTGTTGCCCCTGAAGCCACTCCGCTTCCTCAGCAGCGAATCACTGTCTCGACTCTTCCAGACTCCTCCCTATTGTCGTCTATTTGCCCCCAGCCCTCCACACCTCTCAGCTCGACGCGCAAGACACCACGAAGCCGGTCGGGCGTGCATTGTTGGGTGCCAACGCGATACGATGGCGAGGCACAGCAATCTCCGCTATCAGGGTCCCTCGATCAAGCGAGCCAAGGCCCAGTGCTGCCGGGGATGAGAGAGGCTAAGCGAAGCTTTGTTAACAACACCCTCTCGTGTCTTTGATCTCGTACATCACCATCGGTTATCCGCAACACGATTCTCAACCCCTACCCAACATCACTTCCGGGTCATACGCAGGCACACACAGCGCGCAGCATCCTCACCTTTCTCCAGAACCTGTTGCCACTCGGCTGCCGAGGCCATGTCAGGGTTGTCATCGTCATCGAGGTAGCCTGCTACCGGCCATGTCGCAAGGATGACGACCACTTTTTCCATGATATATACATGCGAGTCATGCCACAGCACGCATTTGGGTGAATACCAGCCAAGCTCGGTCACGGAGTTTTCCGCAGTTTCGTGGGCGCATACATGGACACTCTATCCAGAGGAGAAAAATAGACATGGGGGGAAAGGCCATGGCGATTTCGTAGCGACTTTACCTGGCCAAATTGAATCGAGCCACCTGCACGTCACGAGCAGCTCTTCTCCACTCAACCATGCGTACACCAATGCAGACCATGCCGCCGAACACACCTCAGGCACAGGCAACAAATACGAACAAGCTGGGCAACCGAATTTGGGGTCGCGGGTGGACCAGAGGAGCATCACATCACCAAGACCTCCACGCATTGCATGAAATCCTGCATCCCGAGCCCGCTCCCACTTACTGTCACCGCCACTCTTGGAAATTGGCCAACCGCCCGACTACTCAGCCACCAAGCCGCTGCATCCTTGACGATGATCGCCTGCCCCTCTCCGATCTCTGATCTGAGGCCGTCTCAGCCTTACGAGAGACCC